AGCTGAGCTGTATGTGGCCCATAGGCTGCAGGTTGAACATGCTCATCTTAGAGGTTCAGACTACAGGCACATATCTAATAACCTCAATTTACAGAGGAACAGCTGCAGGATGTAAAATAAAAAATGTTCTCTCTTAACAGGACCATGCACAAAAATCATCTTACTCCGATCTTTGCAAAACAACCAGCAACATGTTGACATTACTGGGTAAAACAAAAGTAGAAACATGTATTCTAATCTTCTGATTCTGAAAGTCACTACTTACAGAACCATTACAGAAAAGCTAGTGAGATAGCAAAGTCTTTTTTTCTAACTTACCAGAGATTAAAGCTGTCCCTCTTGTTCATCTTTCTATTAGAAGAATTTGATAGCCTAATGCTACTGTCCTCTTCAGGCAGCAGTTTCAAATGAGAAAAATAAAAGTAATTGCAGTCATTGTTTATTTTTGAAAACATATTCTGGTCAAGACCTTCTGAGGACTTGGGCCTGCATTTGCATTGAAAGATGGTGAAAGAGGGATCTCTAAAGTCTTTCTCATCTAACAGTAATACACTGATAATAATCCAAATTTTATGACCTCAAATTAAGAAGCTCACATGTAGTTTATTTAGTGAATCACGTCAAAACCCCTGCATGGATAGTTAAAGTGGTGAATTCTGAATTGCCTGGATGAATTCCTTTTGAAGGCAAAAAATGAAGGTATGTGCACCTGTATGATTAATGAGCCAAGATTAGCCCCATCCAGTGTACACAAACAAAAAGTAAGACAAAATTTAGAGTTCTATTCTAAACACTCACACCCCCTCAAAAATATGAAACATCCAAACAACACCAAAAAAGCAAACAAACAAAAATAATACTATAGGGACAGTGTATGTAACATACTTAGCATTAGCAACTCTAAAGTTGCTAGGTACAGATACAGGACAAAATTCTTCTGTCTGTTTATACACAAGGAAATATTCATTCCAAAGGTAAAAATCTAAGAACTGTTAAAATTGTTTCAACCTCAGTCCTGTAAGAAAGGTAAGTACCAAAATTAAAGAAAGCCTCTGAATTGATTGATGGCAAGGCAAAGCACATTACAGAATCAAATAACCAAATTTACGTTTATACAGTATAGCTTCAGTTCATGCTTTTTTATTCCATATAAAATATTCTTCAACTTTTATCAAATTCATTAAATCAAGTAAAACATCATATTACTTCTTCTCTTATCCATAAATTTCTTTCTGATTTACTGACTTTTCACTGCATTTTACTTGCATTTCACTGTCTTTCATGTTCTCTAAACTCATTATTACAATGTAAAAACAGTGAATTTTCTTATAAAAGTTTTCCTTGTTCTCATTACAATGTATTTTTTTGCCCCCATTCTCTCATATGATAACATTGCCAGAAAGGGTAGAGAAGAGAATGCAACCATTGTTTTAATCACACTGAAACACTACCAAACGCTGGATTTCTTCATTTATTAGCTACTTTTTTACACTTTGTATATCACTCAAATACAGCTGATAGAAATTGTTTTAGCAGTTAATTTAGAAAACAAGCAAATTTTTAAGAGGCAACATTTACTTGCAACTTCATGCAACATTTATCCATTAAAATCCAATATTATCTGTAGGAGGCAAAATCATTTATTTAAATTTAGGTTTAAATATCTATTTGTTCACATACTACATATATGAATTTATATATATGCCAAGAGAGCCAGAATTCTTTTTACTCAGATCTAGTATGCTACCTCTTGACAGTTCCATGTACTTAATATTGATGTGGAGCTGGGTTTTTGTTTTGTTTGTTTGTTTTTGTGGTGTTTTTTTTGTTTGTTTGTTTGTTTGTTTGTTTGTTTCTGTTGGTTTGGATTGGTTGGTCAGTTGGTTTGGTTTGTTTTTCAAATTTCTTTATGCACGTGATTTCCTTTTAATTGCACAAGCATTTGCCCACCACTAAAGCTTTTGCAAGACAAAGAAGCAGTTCCGCAACTGCTCCAACTTGAGAAGGAAATGAAATAAGACTGCATTTGACTGTATTTGATCAAAGTCCTGCAGCCTATTTTGCATTGGAGAATAAGAAATGCAATAGTTTCTTTTTAACATCATCTTACCCAGTTACTTTCTTTTCCTCACTGTAAGGGGAGGCTTCAGCCTTTAGATAAGAATAAATTTCAGCATGATGGTGCACCAATGGCCTGAAAATACATGAGGCACATTCACTCACAGCATGTGACTGACACCACACCTGGTTTGGAGAAACCACAACTGCAGACTAGAGCTAGACCTGATCTAATTAAAGCTCAGCATTTTAATTTTGTATTGGTCACAGAAGCTGTGATGGATTTTGTATCCACATGTGTCAGTTTGTATATATTCAATATTAAAAGAATGCAAGTATGGATTAGTTTAGTCAGATTAAGTACTGCCTTAGAGTATGGTAACTGTAATCAACCCACTGAAAGAAGATGGTAGGCAGATACTTTGTGTTTTAGTTATATAAAAATGTTACTGAGCATACACAGGGGGAAACATGCCATGATGCCTTCCATCTAGCTCCAACTGAATGAGTTTCTATCACTTTGTGTGCAGAGATACATGTATACTGGAGTGTAAGCACTGTCTAAAGAAGTTGCCATGGAGAAGATTACACAGGAGGACACCTTAGAAGTAGAAATGAGTTAGACAATTTAGTTTCCCCAGAATCCAAAATGCATCTGATAGCTGAAACTACACCTCAATCTGATAGCATTAGACACCGTATGCATACCAAAAAAAGAAGTGGGTAAAGTTCTGACTTCTTTATTTGCAAGGCACTGCTCCGGTATTTCAAACAAATGGTTTCTGTTTCCTATCACAATGCAGTTTTAAGTACACTTTCTGCCATTTGCTCAAATTTCAGAAATTACTATTATATCTACAACATGTAATGTTCACATCAAACATGTTGAGAAATATTCTATTAAAAACATTTGCTAATTTTCACTACAATGTGTACATGCATTTCAACTGTACATGCAGTAAATTCTTGGCAAGAATTTCCCTTCATTCAAACTGACTTATTTTTAGCTTCTCTTAATTCAGAAAACAATAAAATATACCACAAGTCTATGCAAATGCTGCATCCAATATCTGTCCCTAGAGGAAAGTAATTTTGCATGTCCATTGAAATCAACTGAATTCTAAAAGGAAATCCTTCATTTCCTTTTATTCCCATTCTTTCCAAATAGTTGTTCCAGTTCATCATTGTGATTTGTGGACACAAAAAGACATGCAGTATGTGGCTGACTTGTCAAAGCTAAAGCCAGTCAGCTTCCTGCTGAGCTTCCTGCTGATAAGTCAGTAAAATGACACACTAAGCCTTAGAAGGAAAAAATAACAATAAAAATAAATAGCAATGTAAAAAAAAAACAAAAACCCTAAGTAAGCTAAATAAACTAACTAATGTGTAGAATATTTCTAGAGACATCTCTTCATATTTCAAGGACCCACAGTGGATTTTACTCTGTCTTTTACTAAAAGCAGTACCCATGTTTCCCCTGTAACTGGAAATGGCATCATTAAAAACAGGTTAGCCTTTCAGAATAGCTGAAGTACTTCATTCTCCCAGATGTAGTATCTGTTGAAGGTTTTGTAAAGGACTCTACTATTGTTGTTCAAGGCAATATTAAATTTAACCATTGTAAGGAATGTATCATTGAATTACTTTTCCATAAACTACTGAAAACAGACATTTGCACAGTTTAAGTGAAACCTCATGCTCATATATTTCTCCACAAATGAAGCAAGGGATACCAAGTGATATAACAGCATAACTACGGTTATTGCAAACATTTTCATAGCAGTCTGGTTACAAGAGCACAAGCTCCAGTTGTACAGCCTCCAATCTTAGGCCAAGACCAAGTGTTATCCTCCAACTTAGGCCTAATAGACAAGTGTGAAACATGAGGGTAAAATCCTTTTCACATAATGTGATCCAATGCATGCATTTATGCCTTCTTCTTGTGCCTCATTGAAGCATCTATAGGGATCTTCTTGTGGCTGTGGAACAAGGATGATGACCTTTCGATAAAGTGGCAGAAAGCTATGCTTTGAATTGTGAAAGCTCCCTCTCCAAGGTATTAGTTTGCTTTCCTCCAAGAATAACACATCACTTTCTGTTTGGCTTGGAAAGGAAAAACTTCTAAGGTACATAAAATTCCCTGTTTGTTTCACTTGATTCCTTCAGAGATTTAGAGATCAAATGCTTTCATGTCTTCTGAATATATAAATGATAAATGTTTAGTCAACAAATAGAAAAAATACTATGCAATTTTCCTGAAAAATTACAGCTAACCAGTCCTAAAATAACCACATTTCAGTATTCTTCTGAAAAACAGTTGGTCAGTTCCAAGATTAAGAGACTGGACAGAATCTTACATGAATAAAGCTGAGCAATAAATAAAGCAATAGGCTCAGCTAAGCAAACTGGAGCTTAAGATACATAGGCAGACAGTTCTTCATATTTTTACAAAGAAAATAGTTCACTGCAAACAGAAAGAAAACATCAGATCAGCCGTTTTGAGAGAACTATGCAGTAGTTGCACCTGAGGATAGGATATACCAGACACAGAAAAGATTTCTAGATATACTTCAGTACTTGTATTGTATTTGGAATGTCTAACTGAAATGATTTGGCTTCAGCAGTTTATAGTTACAAATCCAATAATTAACAGGTGGTTATTAGATCAATCCATGTTCATGTGTGATTATCTTTCCAAAAGTCTTCTTAGAAAGAAGAATATGTTTGGGAAGCTTACTAGATAGTATCTACTACTAAAAGAAAAAAAAAAAGTTATTTTAGTAGGTCATACAATAGTGAGTCTTCTTTAATTAAATGTCACTGCCTCTGGATATCTTCAGTACAAGTGAACACAAAGTATTTTAAGTCATAAAAAAAATAAAAATAAAAAAAAATTAAGAAGTGTGGGAAAATATCATAGTACAACCAGATAACTACAAATTTCTCATGTAGCAAATACTTGGTTGTCAAGTGCATTTCAGTAGACATGTGTGTGTCCAGAAAGCACCTTATTCATTTGTAAGTGAATGTTTTACTGTTATTTGGTTGGGACAAGGAAAAACAACAGATGAATCCTTTTGAAAATACTGTTGCATACAAAGTTTTCTTGTAGATCTACCTAAACTCCTAAAATGAGAGAAATAATACAGTATGAGTAAGAGAGAAATAATATTTATAGAAAAGAGACATATAAATAATAATTAAAACCCACCTTCATAAAATATGTCATTCCTAAGACCAAGATAAAAACAGAGACAAGAAGTAGATCCATTCAGCTGGCTGCAATATCATCCTATGTTTCATCTGCCTGTAACATGAGCATTTGTAAAGAATACAAAATGTCATATTTTTCAGTCAAGACAAAAACAGATGTAAAACACCATTGAAATTTCAAGGTTTGTACATACAAATACAGTCAATTTCATCTTTATGGAAATCTACTCAAGTTATGATGTGAACAGGCAGTGCCAAGAGAACACAACTTGTTGCAAAGTATCAACAAGGATGAGATGAGGGAAGATGCAGTGGAAGGTCCACCCACAAGGTTGTCTAGGGTAAGATGGTGTCAACGGTTTATGGGCTGGTCCGGCCCAGTTCCGTGACCAGCAGGGCGGAGGGATCTGCGGATCCGCGCCTCTGGAAAAGGGGAAGCAGGGGACCCCAAAATACTTGAAAAAACAACAGCACTGATCTGAGGTGGAACAAATGATTTTACTAAATATAGTATTAGTAAACTACAAAGAGAGAGAGAGAGAGAGAGAGAGAGTCTGTTTGAATTGTATAGACCTCACCACAATCCTGGGGTGAGAAGTGCAGTCCAGTTGAGTGACTGAAGTACAGACGGCGAAGTGTAGATGGCGAAACGCAGGCGGCGAAGCGCAGGCGGCGAAGCGCAGATAGCGAAGCGCAGACAGCGAAGCGCAGACAGCGAAGCGCAGGCAAAGAAGAGAGCTCAGGTGACCTTGCATGGAGTTATATCCCCTTGCTGACCGCAAAGCCTCCTGGGGAAATGTAGTTCTTCTCCGACGGACGAACATTCGGCAGATATCAAACCCCACCCCCAGTGCATTACATGATGTTATGGTGTGGAATACTGATGACCAAAAATCATAAAACCATGACACATGGTTGACTCCATACTTCAAGACTGCCTCCGCCAAAAAGGAAAGAAGTGTAATTGTCATAGGCCACTCCCTTCTGAGAGGAACAAAGGACCCTATATGTCACCAGATCCTATGTATAGGAAAGTGTGCCACCTGTTTGGAGTCCAGGCCAGGAATATTTCTAGGAAACTTCCTATTTTGATTTGCTCCTTTGATTGTTATCCTTTACTGATAATTCATGCTGACAATAATGGCTGAGAGAAGCCTGAGGACTACCAAAAAGGACTTCAGGGGACTGGAGCAGCTAGCACAAAGAGCAGGAGTACAGGTTGTATTTTCTTATACCCATCCATGGCAGAAGAGGATACTAAGAACAGGAAAGCCCATTTCATGACTATGTAGCTGAGAAGCTGGTGCAAACACAGAAATTTTGTTCTGTTGGGTTTTTTTGGTGGATTTTTTTTTTTTTTTTTTTTTTTTTTTTTTACCATAGGGTTACTTGGCACCTGGTTGGATAGCAGCTGATATAAATAACCAGAGTATCTCAAGGAAGATGCAAGTAAGGCAATTATATAAATATATATCAGTTCAACAGGGTGAGAAAAATCAAGCTAGTCACCATTAGCTATGTATTTTCACCAGAGTTGAACAAGAGCCTGCATGCCATGTTTGTAAACATCTGCTACAGTGAAGGTGACCCACTGCATGCTATGGCGGCACTGTTGTTGAGCTGCACCATCCATCATCTTACCGGGCTTACAAGCGATGTTTGGACTCTAGAAACATTCAGCAACATCAGCGAATGTCAGTGGGTGCAAATCTTTTCCACACAGAGGAATTCATACCCACGTCAGATACTTCCACGTCAGATGCCACACTATCAGACTGCCCCTCTGCTGCCATTTCTTGCACAACAACAAAATATAACAGAATATTGGCAGGAAAGTTCAAGCTCTACTGCCATACCACCAACATCTGCCTCTGACTTATGGGTCAACATAATAAAATAGGAGGAACTACTGATAAACAAAACTGGAACAGCCCTTGTGTTTCTAGTTTTCACTTAGCTTAATGAATTATTTTGTGAATATTTTTATAGTAATAACTACTGGTAGCGGGCCATGGTTTGAGATCTGCTATGGATTCTGAGCATGAGAGGGTCCGGCACACTTCTCATGGCTCATTTGCACAATTAGCTTTTTCCCCAGAGCCTGGTTCTAGGTCACCTAAACCTGGCTCTGAGCCCAGACAGGAAAACCCATGGGAACTGTAAGGAAGTTACTGTGCCAAGATTTTGAGAATAATGTTATCAGTCTCTGTAGAATGAACTATCTATGAATCTAGAATCAAATACAGGATAAAGAATTACAAGCGAAGTACAACCAGTGGTTACTAATTATCAGTGGTTCCTTACGGGCCAGAAAGAGTGTAGTGACGGGAACTGGCAAAAAGCATGTAAATAGTAAGAAAAGAACTAAAAGTACCTTATATCTACATAACACACTATATAAATTTGGGCATAGTAGGTAAATGTAAGTAAAAGAAGAAAGAATATGGTTTTAGCAAATAAAAAATCACCACAGTCAAAGGAGATTGGAAAATTGTATTCTGTTTTAATGGGACGCAATTCAAATGCTCCCTGTTTGTATCACTGCAACTAGAGTAACGGTAATTATTCGATTTGACTCTTAAAAGTTTGCAGTAACATTAAATTCTTGGCTGTGTATGTAGACTGTATCCCATTGGTTCTCAGGTCATTAGAAGTGTAATATAATGAACTGAATGAGCATTCAAGTAACGTACCTACAAAATGGCTGGTACAGTGATGAAGGTGGTATTAAGCTCTGGACAATATTATTTCTTCAGCACATTTAGACTCAGAAAGCAGGATTTATATCTTTGTATTCTACCCCATATTCAGCCTTCAATGGGCTGCACTCCAACTATACTCATCCTTTCATATCACCTAGTTTAAAATATAAGTATTGTCTCACTGACATTTTTTTTAATATCCAAAAGAATCTTTCAGTGGTTCTCAAATGATCATTTTGTCTATGTCTATAGCCACAGAAATCTCATGATAGCTGCTGATTTACTAATGAATAATTTGTGGTTTTTCAGAACGTTACCATCACAAATAGTAATGCTACTTTAAGCTCTTGTTGTTTCAAACAAGTAGTGTTAAAAAAAAAAAAAAAAAAAATCCTAAGATTTTATTTTATAATCATTAGATTAGTATTGTGGAGGTCAAGGTACTGTTCTAAAGCATTGTTAAAAACATAGATGAAACACGTCCAGAAACTTGACCAGATCTATTTTTCAGGAAAAGTTCATAGGCAGTGGCTTCAGGCTGAAGACTGAAGTTAGATGTTTTTTGGTTTGTCTGCCTTCAGTGGCATCTAGTAACTGAGAATTATTCTGAGAAACATTAACATTTCACTTAGTATATTCTGTAATACTTCACTGTTTAGCAGGTAAGATTCTTGGGAAAGACATTGGGAAAGTCTCAGGAAAGTGTTAAATACGAAAGTCATGGTTCCAAATGAGAGACAGCTGTACAACTATCAAATGTATTGAAACTGTGCTTTTAATATCTACTTGAGCAGTTTGTCTTTATGCAGCTTTCAGAAATAGAAATTATAAAAAATGTACATAAAGCACCTGAAGCTTTCCTTTTATAAAACCTAAAGATTCATAAACAGAGCACTACATTTTCTCTCGCTTAAAAACAGAGCAACTTCCCCCTCCTCCCCCTCCCAAGAAATAAACATCATATTTCTTAAAGGATTTTTTCTTATTCAAATATGAAAACCATGACAGTAGAACATCTCTAAGCTGTTACAATAAAGAACAGTTAATCAGAACTTAATATGTTGTCATTAGCAAAGAGACAGAAAAAGACAATGTAAATACTTGTTCAGCAAATCATTTGCACTTGACATAATGAGACATTGCAGTGGAGATAATTGTACAAAAATTGGCATTTGTTTAATGTTTTGTCTAATCTACAGTTTGTCTCCCAAGCATGTGACTGCTCTTTTATTTCCTAATATTATTATGAAAATGTTGTAGAATACTAATGGACAAAATTCTGAAGATCTCTCATTCATTTAGTAGTTTGTTCATTTAAATGTTGTATTTCTGCCTTAGTTGCTGTAGTACTCAGAAATGCCTGAGATAGCAAAATAATGCTTTCTGGTAAACGCATAGAATACAATGCAAATCAGAAAAGCATATATAAAAATACATATTTATAGCAAAATATTTATATTATATAAGAGATTCCTGTGTTTGTTTTTATCCAAGTATCTGAAAATAACTTGTTTCTTTACATCATCATACTTGGATTGCAAGTCTATAAGAAAGACCTATGCATTGGCACAATTTCTCCTACATAGGAGGAAAAATCACTTTATACAAAATTAAAGTTCACACAGTGCAAGAAAAGAACTGAATAATAAATATATTTATTGAAACATTGTGAGGAGTTTGGAGAGATAAAGCAGTTCCTTGAAAAAAAATAATATATTTCTATGTTATACAGATATTATGCCATGTGGTTTTCTTTACACGTTACTGTTACTAAAAAAAAATATGCAGAAGTGTTTAACTGTAGTACTTACCACTGATTTTCCCCTACTAGAACTTGTGTACCCACACCAACTCAGAACTCAGTTTTCAGATATACTAATCAAGAAGACTTGGCTGCACTAGGGTGCACTGCAAACAGCTGAAACAGTAGACATTTGGAACATAAAGACTTTGTGTTCCTATTATTCATTCAAGTATTTGCTGTTTCTCTTACAAATACAGAAATAAATTGTGCAGCTCTTAATTAGAAATAATTCATAATTTCAAGGCCAAGTGCACAATATTATTTGGTATTGATTGATATAGCTGAATTGCAAGAGGTTTATATTCAACAGTAAAAAAAAAAAGAAAGAAAAAAGAAAAATACCTAGATAAATTGAATTCTACTTCAGGAGCTGAAACACAGACCTGTGCCAAAGACCCACAAGGCAAAGACTCATTTCTAGCTGTGGGAAGGTTCCCTTGGTTCAAGCTTTGAGAAAAACAGCCACAAGGCAGCCCACTAATGAGCAACTTACATTCTGGTTAGAGGCAGAGCTGGTGAGTCAGTAAGATGGTTGGAGATTAAACACAAACAAACAAAAAAAGGTACTACAGAACTTCAGAGTTTTTGCATGTCTTGTTGCTATATAAAGCAAGAGTTACAGAACAAGTTCCCAAGATTTTTTTGCAATGTCACAGGCAGCAGATTAGCTCTGGTGTAGAAAAATCTAAAAGTTAACTTAAATATTTATTATTTGCATTTGTCTTCAAGTATGTTCTCCACATTAGAGCAGCAAAAAGTCATTTAACAATCTCACAAAGCAGTATTAGATGAACAACAGCCCATGCATATTCTAGAGATCTTTCTTCTGGCATGCATTAATATAGCTCAACTGAGCTGCCATTGCCAGTGGGTGCAAAATGAATGATATTTTTCTTTTATTGTATGAAAATCAAATTGATTAGAATGTTTTGAAATTAGTTATATTGTAGCTTGTGACAACTGAAATAAATAAAAAGCAGTGAGAAAGATATTAAAAGAGGTGTTAAAGAGCAATAGATAATGCAGACAGCTTATCTTGCAAAACAGATAACTACTCAGCTAGAAACTGTTAGAATACCTGTATAGTTTTTATCTAAAGTACTGTTCCTGCCAGTCTCAGAGGTCCTTTTTTTTTTTTGCCTATAAAATACATGTAAGCTATTTTTCGTAGCATCATTCTCAAAATAAAGGATGCTTTCCCACCCACCTTAGTCTATGTTGTACTTTCAAAACTAATATAGCAAAAGAGAAAACCTGGAATGGAAGCATGATACAAAGAAAAATAACACAGGACAAAGTGGGTAAAACTCATGTCTTATTTAACTCTTCTGTAGTTCATTGTAACGCAACCTCCTGTAAGGCACAGACAGAGTGGGATCCTTCTCTTTCTTGCCTTGCACAGCCAACTCTAAGGGATTACTTATGCCTTTTGTTACTTTGCCCTCTGATATACATCAGTCATTACGTTTGTTAATAACTTCTATTTATTTTTATTTCTAATCCCTGTTAAGGGATTGTCCATTTCTTTCCTGAAGTATATTAAATAGAATATGAAGTATAAAGCTACCATGTACACTTTGAACTTCATTGAAAAGAATGCAGTGAGGATGTCCTAACTAACTGTTAATCCCTAGGAGTTAACACCAGTATTTGCAACTATTTATTTTTAAAAAGTCTTGAATTTTATTTACAGACTACTAAAATTCAACAGGAACAGAGGAAAAGAAAAAAAAAAAAGCAAGCCTGTGGAACATGAAACTCAGGAAGTGCAATTAAATGCAGTCACCATAAAGCAATTTTATCCTTTAACATTTTAACCCTTTAATTTTACCCTATAACATTTTCATTATTTTATATATACATTTGAAGGAATTAGATAATCAAATCCACATAATGTAACGGAATGGAAATATGTTATATGGAAATCACAATATGTTTACTCTGCTTTATTCTAATGGTAGAAAAGATTTCAGCATTTCCTTCCCACTCACCATTGACAGTGTCAGAGGGCATGGAAGAGAATAAAACAAACAAAAAATCAAAACAACAACAAAATAACCAAGCAAGAAATGTTCTGATTATCTAGTATTTATCCTTTTCTTCATTTTTTCCCTTTGCATACTTCCCACAAAAGAAAGAATATATGTTCAAGGACAGAACTTCCTATTACTTCTCCTGCTGCACTGAGATGGTACATTTTATGAACAGTTCAAATACCTCAACAGAGGATAAGGGAGATTTTCTTCTCTCAGAACTAAGGTATGCACCAAACAAGAGACCAGAAAAGTGAGCATAAAAAGTAGAGAACAAGGATTCAGGGGAACAAACAGACGAAAAGTTTTAGCAAAATCTCACATGCAATAGAAGAGAAGGGAAATATGTCAAGTACAAATATTGAAATTAAGCTATACAAGAAAGAAAAGCCAGTTATTTCAGCTGTCAGATTCTTACACTTAGAATCATAAAGTCATAGAATCTTTGAACTTGGAAAGAACCTCTGAAGACCATCTATTCCTGCTCCCATGCAATAAATCTACACTTAGACCAGATTGTTCAAAGCCCCATCCAGTCTTACCTTGAATGTCTCCAGGGTTGAAGCATCCACCGTCTTCCAGATAATCGGCTCCTAAGCCTCACCAACTTTACTATTAAAAAAAACACAAAACAATCTTCTTTATATCCAGTCTAAATTTCCTCTCTTTTAGTTAGAAACCACTTCCCCTTGTTCTATCACAACAGGCCCTGCTAAGGTGTCTGTTTCCTTCTTATAGTCCCTCTTTAGATATTGACAGGCTACTAACAGGTCTCATCAGACTCTTCTCTTCTCCAGGCTGAATCCTCAGCTCTCTCAGCCTGTCCTTATTGGAGAGATGTTCCATTCCTTGAATCACTTTTTTGTCTCTCTTCTGGATGTGCTAACAGTTCTACAACTCTCCTGTACTGAGGATTCTACGTCTGAACTCAATAGTCTAGGTGAGGTCTCACCAGTGCAAAGTAGAGAGGCAGCATCAGCTCCCTGTTTTCTGTTTCTTGCCTTTCTTTCCAGATATCATACACCTGGGGATGGAGAGTTCTTGTGCCCTAAAGAAAGCTTCCTTAAAAATCTGCCACCTCTGCTCAACTCCCTTGTCTTTCCACATTTCCAGAGGGTTTTGTTGACTAACTCTCTTAAGAATTTGATGTTTGCTTTCCTAAAATTAAACTTCCTGATTTTGCTCTTTACCTGTGTGATAGTGCTCAGGAGTTTGAACTCCACTATTACCTGGCAACCCCCACTCCTGATGTCATTAGTCAGTTCACTTGCATTGGTGAGCAACAGGTCCAGCATTGCATCACTCTTGCTGGACGTTGCTGTCTTTTTCCTGGCTCAGGAAGTTATACTCAATACATTCCCCAAGCCTCGTGAATTGTCTACAGCTCATGACACTACTTTTCCAGAAGATGTCAGAGTGGCTGAAGTCCCCCAGGAGGATGAGAGCCTGCTATCCCAACACTTGTAGCTAGAGGAAGAGCCAATTTTGAACTGTGGAGTTGACTTCCTTGCCCTAGATATCCTCCTGGGTGCACCTTCTACCACATCCTCGCTTACTTGTTCCTTGAGTTCCAGAGTCTCAATCTATTAAGCGCACCTGGGAAGGTGAGGTAGACAGGGAGTGGGATTGCTTGTGATTGTGAGCAGAGACCTGCTTCAATTTCTCCCCATTTTTTAGGTCCTCTCCCTTTGCCCAACAGTGACAGGACAGAGTGTCTCACTATTTGGGGTGTATTGACCTGGTACATTTCTAGCAGGTACAGCAGGAAGTCACTCTACTAGCCTATCTTCTACTCACAATTTCTAATGCTTCTTAATGTCTCCATCTCCTCCTTGAGCTCTGCCACCAGGCTGAGCAGGTCATCTGCCTGCTCACACCTCATGCAGATGGTATGCCTGCCACCCACTGATGGCAGCAGCAGGCTCAGGCACTCCATGTAGCCAGAGACTGGAACAGCTGCCTTTCTGTGCACATACTCAGCCTAATTAGCCATATTATTTTTGGCAAGAACTTTCTGCCAAGTAAAGATTTGTTCGTGGCTAGATTTGTTATCTAGAAGGCAGCTGATAGGTGAGCCAGTCTCCCAAGTGGTGGGGGGTACGCTGCTTTCTCTGCATAAATTGACATGCCACACTCTTATTGACATACCATGCTGTATTTGTCCACTGTTCACTGCACTTTTGGGAGCTGCATTCCCTGGGGCTGCTTTTGTAAATAAAGGGTGTGATACCTTTCCTCTGGACCCTGCCCCCAGCCCGCTAGAGCCAATTGCCCTGCAGGAAATAATGGCACCAAGAGCTTATCTCTGACAGGAGTTCAGTTGCCCTGCTGAGGCGATTCCTTGTTTCAGTGTGGGATGAGATCACACCACAGCCTGCAGAGAGAATATACTTAAGCTAATTCAGACTTTTCCCCTTTATACTTCCCTTTCTATGTATTTGGCCCAGTCATTTCCAACATTTCGTTCTGATTCATTGTCACAGTTAGCATCACAGTTAGCATGGAAGTAAGTGACTAGGTTCATCTAAGCTATTTTCTTCTTATTACAGCTCCAAGTATCTGCCAGTGCTCTCATTAAACAGTGCTAAATCAGCTGTTTGCTATTTCCAGATGGCTCTTCTTTATGTTCATCCTTTCATGCAACAAGGTGGCAAAATATGGCATAAGTGTAGCTGAGGATAGCACTGCTAGAGACTGCTCCCTTCCTGAATACTCCAGCTATTAATGTATGGTTAAACATTACTTGCTTGCTACTGAAAGTGATGGAGATAAAAATAAAGATTACAACTTAGCCTATATTTGAATTGTTGCAGCAGAGAATGAACATTAGCCATATCTCAATTTCTCTTTCGTAAAAATAAGAAGTTCTACCAGATTAAACAGCCAAAGAAACTATTACGACAATATAATAGGATATTCCACAAAACAAATAAAATTTTCATTTAGAAATACTTTGCACAAATTCTAATTAAGTTAATATATACTCCTTCCAACAAAAACAATGACAGTTTAAAGACTGTAACTCAACGTACTAATGCCCTTTCAGTTTTAAATTATCATCTATGTTTGTGTGTTCAGTGTGGACTACAACTTCCAATATGTGCTGTAAAAAATAGTCTCAGTAAAAAGCTGAATAGGACCAAGCAGAGGCTATCTGTATTTAAAAGATCTTTACAACTGGAACAGTGGGGATTCCTCCAAAAGAATTATTGCCTTCAAGCAGTGTCTAATCCTAGGAATTTTTAGGGAGAAAACATTTTAGAGTGATGATAGCCTGCTGGGCATATGGGAAGAAGCCAGTGACTTCATACAGATCTATTGTGAGGGATTCAGACCAGGCTACAGCCAGCATGTGTTCTCAGTAGGACCTCCCTGAAAAATAAACTCTATTGCCAATATTAGTCATTCCTAGAGCACAGATAGGATAAGACCTTCAAAATTCATTCACCCCAGAGAATTATCATGTTGGAGAAGAAAAATTACCTATCTCGTCCCTAAATGCTCAAGGCTTGGCTAGTTAATGATCCTCCTAGATTTGCCAACCATTGACTTGTGTACTGATGAATAGTCAATTTTTGCTATATAGACAAGTTTTTCCTTAGCTTTCTTTTAGGATTAGAACAACACTATTAAAAGGCATATCATTAAAATATGTATATAAATCAGTAGAATTGTTCAAGCTGGGAATGTTCCCCTTTTACTATCTGTTCCTTCTGCTGTGTTATATTAAACATGAAGTCTGAAAAATTCTCTATATTCCTCATTATTTTAGTTATATGCCAGTATAAACAATAATTGAGTCTTTCTGAACACAGTATTATTTCTACTGAACAGAAAAGTCTGTTGCACATACACAGAACTGTTGCAGGTCAGAGAACCAAGCGAGCTTTGGAAGCACAACAGGACTGCTCTCTTCACTCCTCAGGATCTCATTTTCCACTGGAAAAAAAAGTTTTAATCCATATTCTAGCAGGCAAATCCACAACTTCCCTTTTGGGCTTTCCACTAGCCACTAGACTAATCTGACACTAGTTTGGCTGTCGTGCTGCTGCCACCAGTTGTTTCCAGTGGAAAACGAATTCACACTTACATAGTAATAATATAATAAGTCAACTGATACTTTTATGTCTCTCCGAAGTTCAAAGCATGTTACAATAATAAAACTATTCCTTCTCTCATACCTAACCACAGCTGAAATCATTAGAGCAACATTCTGACTAGACTGTATATAAAATATTCAAGTCTTCTTAAATTACATTATATTAAAATTAAATGTTTCTATAATAAAGAAATTTATCAATTACTAAAACCAAATGTGATAGGCTGTCTAATAATGTATCTGTTAGATAAACCTTGAAAATTGCTGTTCATTAAATTTGAAGATATCCAGAAATCTTGTTAGTTACATTACCTTACTTTATCAAGGCTCTTCCACTGGAGCTATCACTCCTCTTTTTTGTATGTTGAGTTTCTCTCAGCTGAATACATTTTCAGATTGTTAAATTGTATCAATCAACTTCATCCCATCCTTTATGGAAAGTATTACATCAGCTTCTAACCTCTCAGGAAAATATTTTAATTCTTATATTTTCACAGACTTGGCTATTCTACCTTCGTGGAAAGATAAAATACACAAGGAAACTAAAGGACTGTGAAGTTTCAAGACACCAGGCGGATTTTTTATTTATATATGTATTTGTTTGTTTGTTAATTAAATTATCAGGATTCCAGATTTCTCAGATTGACCAAATTCCACAGAGTTCATTTTTGTATTTTGTTGAGAATCCTGTTTTCAACAATAGATTTATAAAGCTTTATTTTCTTCCTAAAAGTAAATTTATGGCTACTCTACAGTGCTCAAAAATTGCCTTTTTTTCTTTGTGAAGATACAGCACGTAGCAACAAAGATGAAAGGAAGTAATTTTTTATTGTTCAGCTTCTGATGTATTCCAAGATACTGTTAAAATAAAGATATTTCTCTGAAATTATTTACTTAGACAGACAGAATATAAAGCAGATTCTAATCCAAAATGCTACGATGAAAATAACAAAAACAAATGAAAAATGAAAGTCAGAAAAGATTTAAAAATACCTCACAGTCCTGATTTATTTATATTTCACTGTCTAAAATATCTACTGCCACTAAGGAATATACTGATACCTAAATGTGTGAAGGAAACAGAGGAGTTCGCTTTACTTGTATCACCTTCTGATACTTTTGAGTTTCACGCTACCAGAAGGTAATTTCAGAGCAGAATTGAAGATCACAGAATGTGATTCTACTTTTAAGTCTAGTAATACCTGGTAATAAAAGCATTTTCTATAAAACTTCTCTCAAATATTCTCAACTAAAAGGTACCAAACCTCCTTGTACAGTAAAATAATCCCTGCAATTTAGTTTATCACTTTCATATGCTTACACACAGTCCAACTTCAATAATAATATTCATAATAAATTCAGCTTCAAACACCAGTCAAGCTTTTCTCTAATTGAAGCTTTTATATGAACAAGAACATTTATAGTACAAGCCATAAATTTAGAAGTGAGGTTACTGAGGGTAACTTCTCTAGTAAAAACATCTCTTTCTGACTTCACTATTTAATTATCAGTGCCAAACTGACTTGAAATTCCTTCTGAGGTTCAGTTAGAAGATGTTGTACTAACTGAAATAGATCCAGCTAGATC